CCGTGTGTGGCGGGTTGTGGCGTGTGTGTGTGTGTGTGGGGGGGGGGGGGATCGCGCCGTGTGTGGCAGGTCGTGGCGGGTTGTGGCGGGTTATGACGGGTCGCTGCGGGTTGTGGCGGGTCTTGGAGGATTGTGGCGGGTCTTGGAGGGTTGTGGCAGGTTGTAGCGGGTTGTGGCGGGTTGTGGCGGATCGTGGCAGGTTGTGGCGGGTTGTGGCGGATTGTGGCGGGTTGTGGCGGGTCGTGGCGGGTTGTGGCAAATTGTGGCGGATCGTGGCGGGTTGTGGCGGGTTGTGGCGGGTCGTGGCGGGTTGTGGCGGGTTGTAGTGGATGTTACGTGTGTGTGGGGGGGGGAAGATCGGGTCGTATGTGGCGGGTTGTGGCGGGTTATGACGGGTCGTGGCGGGTTGTGGCGGGTCTTGGAGGGTTGTGGCAGGTTGTAGCGGGTTGTGGCGGATCGTGGCAGGTTGTGGCGGGTTGTGACGGAAAGTGGCGGGTTGTGGCGGGTCGTGGCGGGTTGTGGCGGGTTGTGGCGGATCGTGGCGGGTTGTGGCGGGTTGTGGCGCGTTGTGGCGGATTGTTACGTGTGTGTGTGGAGGGGGGGGGGGCAGATCGGGCCGTGTGTGGCGGGTTGTGGCGGGTTATGACGGGTCGTGGCGGGTTGTGGCGGGTCTTGGAGGGTTGTGGCAGGTTTGTAGCGGGTTGTGGCGGATCGTGGCAGGTTGTGGCGGGTTGTGACGGATTGTGGCGGGTCGTGGCGGGTTGTGGCGGGTTGTGGCGGATCGTGGCGGGTTGTGGCGGGTTGTGGCGCGTTGTGGCGGATTGTTACGTGTGTGTGTGGAGGGGGGGGGGGGGGACAGATCGGGCCGTGTGTGGCGGGTTGTGGCGGGTTGTGACGTGTGCGTGGGGGGGGGGGGATCGGGCCGTGCGTAACAGGTCGTGGCGGGTTTGTGGCGTGTGTGCGTGGGGGGGGGGGGGGACGGGCCGTGCGTAACAGGTCGTGGCGGGTTGTGGCGTGTGCGTGGGGGGGGGGGATCGGGCCGTGCGTAACAGGTCGTGGCGGGTTGTGCCGTGTGTGTGTGTTGGGGGGGGGGGGGGGGGTGATCGGGCCGTGTGTGGCGGGTTGTGGCGTGTGTGTGTGTGTGGGGGGGGGGGGGGGGATCGCGCGTGTGTGTGGCAGGTCGTGGCGGGTTGTGGGGGTTATGACGGGTCGCTGCGGGTTGTGGCGGGTCTTGGAGGATTGTGGCGGGTCTTGGAGGGTTGTGGGCAGGTTGTAGCGGGGTTGTGGCGGGTTGTGGCGGATCGTGGCAGGTTGTGGCGGGTTGTGGCGGATTGTGGCGGGTTGTGGCGGGTCGTGGCGGGTTGTGGCGGATTGTGGCGGATCGTGGCGGGTTGTGGCGGGTTGTGGCGGGTCGTGGCGGGTTGTGGCGGGTTGTAGTGGATTGTTACGTGTGTGTGGGGGGGCGGAAGATCGGGTCGTATGTGGCGGGTTGTGGCGGGTTATGACGGGTCGTGGCGGGTTGTGGCGGGTCTTGGAGGGTTGTGGCAGGTTGTTGCGGGTTGTGGCGGATCGTGGCAGGTTGTGGCGGGTTGTGACGGAAAGTGGCGGGTTGTGGCGGGTCGTGGCGGGTTGTGGCGGGTTGTGGCGGATCGTGGCGGGTTGTGGCGGGTTGTGGCGCGTTGTGGCGGATTGTTACGTGTGTGTGTGGAGGGGGGGGGGGGGGCAGATCGGGCCGTGTGTGGCGGGTGGTGGCGGTTTGTGACGTGTGTGCGTGGGGGGGGGGGGGGATCGGGCCGTGCGTAACAGGTCGTGGCGGGTTGTGGCGTGTGCGTGGTGGGGGGGGGGGGGGGAACGGGCCGTGCGTAACAGGTCGTGGCGGGTTGTGCCGTGTGTGTGTGTTGGGGGGGGGGGGGGGGGAATGATCGGGCCGTGTGTGGCGGGTTGTGGAGTGTGTGTGTGTGGGGGGGGGGGGGGGGGATCGGGCAGTGTGTGGCAGGTCGTGGCGGGTTATGACGGGTCGCGGCGGGTTGTGGCGGGTCTTGGAGGATTGTGGCGGGTCTTGGAAGGTTGTGGCAGGTTGTAGCGGGTTGTGGCGGATCGTGGCAGGTTGTGGCGGGTTGTGGCGGATTGTGGTGGGTTGTGGCGGGTCGTGGCGGGTTGTGGCGGGTTGTGGCGGATCGTGGCGGGTTGTGGCGGGTTGTGGCGGGTTGTGGCGGGTTGTAGCGGATTGTTACGTGTGTGTGGGGGGGGGGGTGGGGTGGGGCAGATTGGGTAGTATGTGGCGGGTTGTGGCGAATCATGGCGGGTTGTGGCGAATCATGGTGGGTTGTGCCGTGTGTGTGTGTGTGTGGGGGGGGGGTGATCGGGCCGTGTGTGGCAGGTCGTGGCGGGTTGTGGCGTGTGCGTGGGGGGGGGGGGGGGATCGGGCCGTGTGTGGTGGGTCGTGGCGGGTCGTGGCGGGTTGTAGCGGGTTGTGACGTGTGTGTGTGGGGGGGGTGGGATTGGGCCGTGTGTCGAGGGTTGTGGCGTGTTGTGGCGGGTCGTGGGGTGTTGTGGCAGGTTGTGGCGGGTCGAGGCGGGTTATAGCGTGTTGTGGCTGGTTGTGGCGGGTTGTGGCGGGTCGTGACGGGTCGTGGTGTGTTGTGGCGTGTTGTGGCGTGTTGTAGCGTGTTGTGGCGGGTCGTGGGGTGTTGTGGCTGGCCGTGGCGGGTCGTGGCGTGTTGTGGCGGGTTGTGGCGGGTCGTGGTTGGTTGTAGCGTGTTGTGGCGGGTTGTGGCGGGTCGTGGGGTGTTGTGGCTGGTCGTGGCGTGTTGGGGCGGGTTGTGGCGGGTCGTGGTTGGTTGTATCGTGTTGTGGCGGGTTGTGGCGGGTCGTAGCAGATTGTGGTGGGTTGTTGCGGGTCGTGGCGTGTCGTGGCAGGTCGTGGGGTGTTGTGGCGGGTTGTGCCGGGTTGTAGCGTGTTGTGGCGGGTCGTGGGGTGTTGTGGCTGGTCGTGCCGTGTGTGGCGGGTCGTGGCGTGTTGTGGCGTGTTGTAGCGGGTTGTGGCGGATTGTGGCGGGTCGTGGCGGGTCGCGTTCGGTCGTTACGGCTTGTGGTGGGTCGTGGCGGGTTGTGGCGGGTCTTGGAGGGTTGTGGCGGGTTGTGGGCGGGTCTTGGAGGGTTGTGGGCAGGTCTTGGAGGGTTGTGGCGGGTTGTGGCGGGTTGTGGCGTGTTGTGGCGGGTTGTGGCGGGTCGTGGCGGATCGTGGCGGGTTTTGGCGTGTGTGTGTAGGGGGGGGGGAACGGGTGGTGTGTGGCGGGTTGTGGCGGGATGTGGCGGGTTGTGGCGGGTTGTGGCGGATCGTGGCGGGTTGTCGTGGGTTGTGGCGGGATGTGGCAGATTGTGGCGGGTTGTGGCGGGTTGTGGCGGGTCGTGGCGGGTTGTCGTGGGTTGTGGCGGGTTGTGGCAGGTTGTGGCTGATCGTGGTGGGTTGTGGCGGGTCGTGGCGGGTTGCGGCGGGTTGTGGCGGGTTGTGGCGTGTGTGTGGGGGGGGGGGAGGGGATTGGGCGAGTGTTGCGGGTTGTGGCGTGTTGTAGCGTGTTGTGGCTGGTCGTGGCAGGTCGTGGCGAGTTGTGGCGGGTCGTAGCGGGTCGTGGCGTGTGTGGGGGGGAGGGGAGGGATTGGGCGTGTGTGGCGGGTTGTGGCGGGTTGTGACGTGTGCGTGTGGGGGGGGGGGATTGGGCCGTGTGTGGCGGGTTGTGGCGTATTGTAGCGTGTTGTGGTGGGTCGTGGGGTGTTGTGGTGGGTCGTGGCGGGTTGTGGCGGGTCGTGGCGGGTTGTGGCGGGTCGTAACGGGTTTTGGCGTGTTGTGGCGGGTTGTGGCGGGTCGTAACGGGTTTTGGCGTGTTGTGGTGGGTTGTGGCGTGTGTGTGTGTGTGTGTGGGGGTGGGGATTGGGCGTGTGTGTGGCGGGTTGTGGTGGTGTGTGTGGGGGGGGGGGGGATCGGGCGTGCGTAACAGGTTGTGGCGGGTAGTGGCGTGTGTGTGTGGGGGGGGGGATCGTGCCGTGTGTGGCGGGTCTTGGCGGGTTGTGGCGGATCGTGGTGGGGTGTGACGGGTCGTGGGGGTTTGCTGTCGGGTTGTGTCGAGTTATGGCGGGTCGTGGCTGGTTGTGGCGGGTCGTGGCGGGTTGTGGCGGGTCGTGGCGGGTCGAGGCGGGTTGTGGCCGGTCGTGGCGAGTTGTGGTGTGTTTACTAGTTGTGTTTTTGCGGGGGTTGAGCTTTGCTCTTTCGGCCCGCCTCTCAACTGTCAATCAACTGTTTACTAACTATTTTTTTTTTCCACACCACACACACACACACACACACACACCCCAGGAAGCAGCCCGTGACAGCTGACTAACTTCCAGGTACCTATTTACTGCTAGGTAACAGGGGCACTTAGGGTGAAAGAAACTTTGCCCATTTGTTTCTGCCTCGTGCGGGAATCGAACCCGCGCCACAGAATTACGAGTCCTGCGCGCTATCCACCAGGCTACGAGGCCCCCGTGTGTGTGTGTGTGTGTGTGTGTGTGTGTGTGTGTGTGTGTGTGTGTGTGTGTGTGTGTGTGTGTGTGTGGGGCGGGGGGATCGGGCCGTGTGTGGCGGTTTTTGGCGGGTCGTGGCGGGTTGTGGCGGATCGTGGCGGGTTGTGGCGGGTTGTGGCGGGTCTTGGCGGGTTGTAGCGTATGCATCTTTGTCTAGTCAGGTGTAGTGGGGTATTTAGGCCCAAACTCTTATATTAGTTCAATATTTCCTTCATAATGTGATAAAACACGAAAACGTTACTAATTTTCTTTTCATTTCCCTAGTGAATATGTACGCGTATATATCTGTATGTATTTATAATATGATGACCAGGAAGGGTTCTGCGAATAATGTAGCTGGAAGGCGAACCTTTCCTCTCTTACAATTGAGGCTGAGCCACGATAAGAATGGCGGCAGAGGACACAAATTAGAGTGTGTTAGCCCCAGGGTCGTCTCTCGTCACACAACTATGGGGCGGGAGTGAGTGTCATGCCAGGTATATATAACCCCAACACACTGGACCCCACAACACATCCTCCTGCCTATCTTCACCCGCCTGTACTAAGGTCAGTCTCGGCATGTTTACTAAACTAAACAGGTTCAATGAGATAGGAACACAGAGAATAATGTTAACTCGGCATCACTCTGTTGCGTAAACTAATTTTTTGGACTAAAATGTTTTTAGTTCCAACAAAAAACAAGTTTCTTTTGTCATAAAAGCACGCGAGTACCTCTCTCTTCCGGTAGTTATTATTGTATACAGTCTGACGATGGTCGAGTCATTAGGCGCTTACTTGTTGATGGGAATTTAACAAGCAATCAGAATAATTAAGATACAGAGCGAGAGGATCTTGTCTGTAGACTACTCAGTCATTGAGATCCTCGCCAGACTCAAGCTTTAATATAGACCACAAAATATACATACATCAATGATACTGTAGCGAGAAACGATTCAAGTACTAAAGTAAGTCATAGACATATAGCACCAATGATTGAAACAGGAGTAATTTTAGCTAAGGGCGAGGATGTGTCCAGTCCGTCACCCATTAAGATACTGGCCAGACCTAAGCTCTCAAGTACTTAAGCTTCTTAATTTAACAACTTATGTTATTGGTCAGCCATTGTTTACGAGTTGAAAGGCAGGACCTCCCTCTCCCTGTCTCACAATGATGACCTCCCTCTCCCTGTCTCACAGTGATGACCTCCCTCACCCTGTCTCACAGTGATAACCTCCCTCTCCCTGTCTCACAGTGATAACCTCCCTCACCCTGTCTCACAGTGATAACCTCCCTCTCCCTGTCTCACAGTGATGACCTCCCTCTCCCTGTCTCACAATGATGACCTGTCTCACAATGATGACCTCCCTCTCCCTGTCTCACAATGATGACCTCCCTCACCCTGTCTCACAGTGATGACCTCCCTCACCCTGTCTCACAGTGATGACCTCCCTCACCCTGTCTCACAGTGGTGACCTCCCTCACCCTGTCTCACAGTGATGACCTCCCTCACCCTGTCTCACAGTGATGACCTCCCTCTACCTGTCTGAGAGTAATGACCTCCCTCTACCTGTCTCACAGTGATGACCTCCCTCTCCCTGTCTCACAATGATGACCTCCCTCACCCTGTCTCACAACGATGACCTCCCTCTCCCTGTCTCACAGTGATGACCTCCCTCACCCTGTCTCACAGTGATGACCTCCCTCTCCCTGTCTGAGAGTGATGACCTCCCTCTCCCTGTCACACAATGATGACCTCCCTCACCCTGTCTGAGAGTGATGACCTCCCTCTCCCTGTCTGAGAGTGATGACCTCCCTCTCCCTGTCTCACAGTGATGACCTCCCTCTCCCTGTCTCACAGTGATGACCTCCCTCTCCCTGTCTCACAGTGATGACCTCCCTCTCCCTGTCTGAGAGTGATGACCTCCCTCACCCTGTCTGAGAGTGATGACCTCCCTCTCCCTGTCTCACAGTGATGACCACCATCTCCCTGTCTCACAGTGATGACCACCCTCTCCCTGTCTCACAGTGATGACCTCCCTCTCCCTGTCTCACAGTGATGACCTCCCTCTCACTGTCTGAGAGTGATGACCTCCCTCTCCCTGTCACACAATGATGACCTCCCTCACCCTGTCTGAGAGTGATGACCACCCTCTCCCTGTCTCACAGTGATGACCTCCCTCTCCCTGTCTCACAGTGATGACCTCCCTCTCACTGTCTGAGAGTGATGACCTCCCACTCACTGTCTGAGAGTGATGACCTCCCTCTCCCTGTCTCACAGTGATGACCTCCCTCTCCCTGTCTGAGAGTTATGACCTCCCTCTCCCTGTCTGAGAGTGATGACCTCCCTCACCCTGTCTGAGAGTGATGACCTCCCTCTCCCTGTCTCACAGTGATGACCTCCCTCTCACTGTCTCACAGTGATGACCTCCCTCTCCCTGTCTCACAGTGATGACCTCCCTCTCACTGTCTGAGAGTGATGACCACCCTCTCCCTGTCTCACAGTGATGACCTCCCTCTCCCTGTCTCACAGTGATGACCTCCCTCTCACTGTCTGAGAGTGATGACCTCCCTCTCCCTGTCTCACAGTGATGACCTCCCTCTCACTGTCTGAGAGTGATGACCTCCCTCTCCCTGTCTCACAGTGATGACCTCCCTCTCACTGTCTGAGAGTGATGACCTCCCTCTCCCTGTCTCACAGTGATGACCTCCCTCTCACTGTCTGAGAGTGATGACCTCCCTCTCCCTGTCTCACAGTGATGACCTCCCTCTCCCTGTCTGAGAGTGATGACCTCCCTCTCCCTGTCTCACAGTGATGACCTCCCTCTCCATGTCTCACAGTGATGACCTCCCTCTCCCTGTCTCACAGTGATGACCTCCCTCTCCCTGTCTCACAGTGATGACCTCCCTCTCCCTGTCTCACAGTGATGACCTCCCTCTCCCTGTCTGAGAGTGATGACCTCCCTCACCCTGTCTGAGAGTGATGACCTCCCTCTCCCTGTCTCACAGTGATGACCACCATCTCCCTGTCTCACAGTGATGACCTCCCTCTCCCTGTCTCACAGTGATGACCTCCGTCTCCCTGTCTAAGAGTGATGACCTCCCTCTCCCTGTCTGAGAGGGATGACCTCCCTCTCCCTGTCTGAGAGTGATGACCTCCCTCTCCCTGTCTCACAGTGATGACCTCCCTCTCACTGTCTGAGAGTGATGACCTCCCTCTCCCTGTCTCACAGTGATGACCTCCCTCTCCCTGTCTGAGAGTGATGACCTCCCTCACCCTGTCTGAGAGTGATGACCTCCCTCACCCTGTCTCACAGTGATGACCACCCTCTCCCTGTCTCACAGTGATGACCTCCCTCTCCCTGTCTCACAGTGATGACCTCCGTCTCCCTGTCTAAGAGTGATGACCTCCCTCTCCCTGTCTGAGAGGGATGACCTCCCTCTCCCTGTCTGAGAGTGATGACCTCCCTCACCTTGTCTGAGAGTGATGACCTCCCTCTCCCTGTCTCACAGTGATGACCTCCCTCTCCCTGTCTCACAGTGATGACCTCCCTCTCACTGTCTGAGAGTGATGACCTCCCTCTCCCTGTCTGAGAGTGATGACCTCCCTCTCCCTGTCTCACAGTGATGACCTCCCTCTCCCTGTCTCACAGTGATGACCTCCCTCTCCCTGTCTGAGAGTGATGACCTCCCTCTCCATGTCTCACAGTGATGACCTCCCTCTCCCTGTCTCACAGTGATGACCTCCCTCTCCCTGTCTCACAGTGATGACCTCCCTCTCCCTGTCTCACAGTGATGACCTCCCTCTCCCTGTCTGAGAGTGATGACCTCCCTCTCCCTGTCTCACAGTGATGACCTCCCTCTCACTGTCTGAGAGTGATGACCTCCCTCTCCATGTCTCACAGTGATGACCTCCCTCTCCCTGTCTGAGAGTGATGACCTCCCTCTCCCTGTCTCACAGTGATGACCTCCCTCTCCCTGTCTGAGAGTGATGACCACCCTCTCCCTGTCTCACAGTGATGACCTCCCTCACCCTGTCTGAGAGTGATGACCTCCCTCTCCCTGTCTCACAGTGATGACCACCCTCTCCCTGTCTCACAGTGATGACCACCCTCTCCCTGTCTGAGAGTGATGACCTCCCTCTCCCTGTCTCACAGTGATGACCTCCCTCTCACTGTCTGAGAGTGATGACCTCCCTCTCACTGTCTGAGAGTGATGACCTCCCTCTCCATGTCTCACAGTGATGACCTCCCTCTCACTGTCTGAGAGTGATGACCTCCCTCTCACTGTCTGAGAGTGATGACCTCCCTCTCCCTGTCTGAGAGTGATGACCTCCCTCTCACTGTCTGAGAGTGATGACCTCCCTCTCCCCGTCTGAGAGTGATGACCTCCCTCTCCCTGTCTGAGAGTGATGACCTCCCTCTCCCTGTCTGAGAGTGATGACCTCCCTCTCCATGTCTCACAGTGATGACCTCCCTCTCACTGTCTGAGAGTGATGACCTCCCTCTCCATGTCTCACAGTGATGACCTCCCTCTCCCTGTCTGAGAGTGATGACCTCCCTCTCCCTGTCTGAGAGTGATGACCTCCCTCTCCTGTCTGAGAGTGATGACCTCCCTCTCCATGTCTCACAGTGATGACCTCCCTCTCACTGTCTGAGAGTGATGACCTCCCTCTCCATGTCTCACAGTGATGACCTCCCTCTCCCTGTCTGAGAGTGATGACCTCCCTCTCCCTGTCTGAGAGTGATGACCTCCCTCTCCCTGTCTGAGAGTGATGACCTCCGTCTTCCCCAGAGCCTCCTGTACCACAATGATGAGTGTGGTGATGAGTGTGGTGGTGACAGCGGTGCTGCTAGTGCTGGTCCTTGTTGAGGCCGCGCCTCAGAGTGCTGCTTCTCTAGGCCAGTCTTGCCCGGAGTTCCACTCACAGGTTATGTCCACCCTGGGTAAGTTTAGTGTGGTGATGAGTGTGTGGTGATGAGTGTATGATGAGTGTGTGGTGATGAGTGTGTGGTGATGAGTGTGTAGTGATGAGTGTGTGGTGATGAGTGTGTGGTGATGAGTGTGTGGTGATGAGTGTGTGGTGATGAGTGTATGATGAGTGTGTGGTGATGAGTGTGTGGTGATGAGTGTGTAGTGATGAGTGTGTGGTGATGAGTGTGTGGTGATGAGTGTGTGGTGATGAGTGTGTGGTGATGAGTGTGTGGTGATGAGTGTGTGGTGATGAGTGTGTGGTGATGAGTGTGTGATGATGAGTGTGTGGTGATGAGTGTGTGGTGATGAGTGTGTGATGATGAGTGTGTGGTGATGAGTGTGTGGTGATGAGTGTGTGGTGATGAGTGTGTGGTGATGAGTGTGTGATGAGTGTGTGGTGATGAGTGTGTGGTGATGTGTGTGGTGATGAGTGTGTGATGATGAGTGTGTGGTGATGAGTGTGTGGTGATGAATGTGTGGTGATGAGTGTGTAGTGATGAGTATGTGGTGATGAGTGCGTGGTGATGAATGTGTGGTGATGAGTGTGTAGTGATGAGTATGTGGTGATGAGTGTGTGGTGATGAGTGTGTGGTGATGAGTGTGTTGTGATGAGTGTGTGGTGAAGAGTGTGTGGTGATGAGTGTGTGGTGATGAGTGTGTGGTGATGAGTGTGTGGTGATGAGTGTGTGGTGATGAGTGTGTAGTGATGACTGTGTGGTGATGAGTGTGTAGTGATGAGTGTGTGGTGATGAGTGTGTGGTGATGAGTGTGTGGTGATGAGTGTGTGATGAGTGTGTGGTGATGAGTGTGTGGTGATGAGTGTGTGGTGATGAGTGTGTGGTGATGAGTGTGTGGTGATGAGTGTGTAGTGATGAGTGTGTGGTGATGAGTGTGTGGTGATGAGTGTGTGATGAGTGTGTGGTGATGAGTGTGTGGTGATGACTGTGTGGTGATGAGTGTGTGGTGATGAGTGTGTGGTGATGAGTGTGTGGTGATGAATGTGTGGTGATGAGTGTGTGGTGATGAGTGTGTGGTGATGAGTGTGTGGTGATGACTGTGTGGTGATGAGTGTGTAGTGATGAGTGTGTGGTGATGAGTGTGTGGTGATGAGTGTGTGGTGATGAGTTGTGTGGTGATGAGTGTGTGGTGATGAGTGTGTGGTGATGAGTGTGTAGTGATGAGTGTGTGGTGATGAGTGTGTGGTGATGAGTGTGTGATGAGTGTGTGGTGATGAGTGTGTGGTGATGAGTGTGTGGTGATGAGTGTGTGGTGATGAGTGTGTGGTGATGAGTGTGTGGTGATGAATGTGTGGTGATGAGTGTGTGGTGATGACTGTGTGGTGATGAGTGTGTGGTGATGAGTGTGTGGTGATGAGTGTGTAATGATGACTGTGTGGTGATGAGTGTGTAGTGATGAGTGTGTGGTGATGAGTGTGTGGTGATGAGTGTGTGGTGATGAGTGTGTGGTGATGAGTGTGTGGTGATGAGTGTGTGGTGATGAGTGTGTAGTGATGAGTGTGTGGTGATGAGTGTGTGGTGATGAGTGCGTGGTGATGAATGTGTGGTGATGAGTGTACTCACCTCGTTGTGCTTGTGGGGGTTGAGCTCTAGCTCTTTGGTCCCGCTTCTCAACAGTCAATCAACAGGTGTACACCTGAGCCTATTGGGCTCTATCATATCTACACTTGAAACTGTGTATGGAGTCAGCCTCCACCACATTACTTCCTAATGCATTCCATTCGTCAACCACTCTGACGCTAAAAAAGTTCTTTCTAATATCTCTGTGACTCATTTGGGCACTCAGTTTCCACCTGTGTCCTCTAGTGCGTGTGCCCCTTGTGTTAAATGGCCTATCTCTATCAACCCTATCAATTCCCTTGAGAATCTTGAATGTGGTGATCATATCCCCCCCTTACTCTTATGTCTTCCAACGAAGTGAGGTTTAATTCCCGTAGTCTCTCCTCGTAGCTCATACCTCTCAGCTCGGGTACTAGTCTGGTGGCAAACCTTTGAACCTTTTCCAGTTTAGTCTTATGCTTGACTAGATAAGGACTCCATGCTGGAGCCGCATACTTCAGGATAGGTCTGACATATGTGGTATATAATGTTCTGAAAGATTCCTTACACAAGTTTCTAAAGGCCGTTCTTATGTTAGCCAACCTGGTATATGCTGCTGATGTTATCCTCTTGATATGAGCTTCAGGGGACAGGTCTGGCGTGATATCAACCCCCAGGTCATTCTCTCTCTCTGACTCTTGAAGTATCTCATCTCCCAAATGATACCTTGTATCTGGTCGCCTGCGTCCTACCCCTATCTTCATTACATTACATATGCTTGGGTTAAACTCTAACAGCCATTTGTTCGACCATTCCTGCAGCTTATCCAGGTCTTCTTGAAGCCTCAAGCTGTCCTCCTCTGTCTTAATCCTTCTCATAATTTTGGCGTCGTCAGCAAACATTGAGAGGAATGAGTCTATACCCTCTGGGAGATCATTTACGTATATCAGAAACAGGATAGGTCCAAGCACAGATCCCTGTGGGACTCTATTGGTGACTTCACACAATTCTGAGGTCTCACCCCTCACTGTAACTCTCTGCTTCCTATTGCTTAGGCACTCCTTTATCCACTGGAGCACCCTACCAGTTACTCCTGCCTGTTTCTCCAGCTTATGCATCAACCTTTTATGGGGTACTATGTCAAAGGATTTCCGACAGTCCAAAAAAATGCAGTCTGCCCATCCTTCTCTTTCTTGCTTAATCTTTGTCACCTGATCATAGAATTCTATCAAGCCTGTAAGGCAAGATTTACCCTCCCTGAACCCATGTTGATGGGTTGTCACGAAGTCCCTTCTCTCCAGATGTGTTACTAGGTTTTTCTCACAATCTTCTCCATCACCTTGCATGGTATACAAGTTAAGGACACTGGCCTGTAGTTCAGTGCTTCTTGTCTGACACCCCTTTTTGTATATTGGTACTATATCAGCAGTCTTCCATATTTCTGGTAGGTCTCCTGTTTCCAGTGACCTACAATATACTATGGAGAGTGGCAAGCAAAGGGCTCCTGCACACTCTTTCTATACCCATGGTGAGATTCCGTATGGCCCAACAGCTTTTCTCACATCCAACTCCAATAGGTGCTTCTTGACCTCATCTCTTGTAATTTCGAACCTTTCCAAGGTCACCTGGTTTGCTGCCACCTCTCCTAGTGCCGTGACTTCTCCCTGTTCTATTGTAAAGACCTCCTGGAACCTTTTGTTGAGTTCTCACACACCTCCTTGTCATTCTCTGTGTACCTGTCCTCCCCCACCCTAAGTTTCATCACCTGTTCCTTCACTGTTGTCTTCCTCCTGATGTGACTGTGTAGTAGCTTTGGTTCAGTCTTGGCTTTATTAGCTATATCATTTTCATATCTTTTCTCAGCTGCTCTCCTCACACTAACATACTCGTTCCTGGTTCTCCGGTATCTCTGTCTACTTTCTGGTGTTCTGTTATTACGGAAGTTTCTCCATGCCCTTTTTTTCAGCTCCTTTTCTTTCATACATTCCCTATTAAACCACGGATTTTTCCTTTGCTTCTCTGTTTTTTCCTGTCGGGCTGGGATAAACCTACTTACAGCCTCCTGACATTTTTGGGTGACATAGTCCATCATGTCTTGTACAGACTTGGTTCTGAGTTCTGTGTCCCAATGCATATCCCATAGGAATTTATTCATCTCCTCGTAGTTTCCCTTTCGGTACGCCAGCCCTTTGTTTCCCAGTTTTTTTTTGGGGCTGATAATTCCTAGCTCAACCAGGTACTCAAAGCTCAATACACTATGATCACTCATTCCCAAGGGGGCTTCCAACTTAATTTCCCTTATATCCGACTCATTTAGGGTTACTAAATATCAGATCAAGCAAGGCTGGTTCATCCCCTTCTCTCATTCTTGTCGGTCCCTTGACGTGTTGACTTAGGAAGTTTCTTGTTGCCACATCCAGCAGCTTAGCTCTCCATGTATCTGGGCCTCCATGTGGGTCTCTGTTCCCCCAATCTATCTTCCCATGGTTGAAGTCTCTCATAATTAGTAGTCTGGATCCGTCCCTGCTAGCCACAGAAGCTGCTCTCTCTATTATATTGATGGGGCCAAGGTGTTTCTATCATATTCCTGTCTGGGTATTGTCATTCGGTGGGGGGGGGGGGGGGGGGGGTTATGTATGATGAGTGTGTGGTGGGTGAGTGTGTGATGATAAGTGTGTTGTGATGAGTGTGTTGTGATGAGTGTGTTGTGATGAATGTGTGGTGATGAATGTGTGGTGATGAGTGTGTGGTGGTGAGTGTGTTGTGATGACTGTGTGGTGATGAGTGTGTGGTGATGACTGTGTGGTGGTGAGTGTGTGGTGATGAGTGTGTGGTGGTGAGTGTTTGGGGATGAATGTGTGGTGATGAGTGTGGGGATGAGTGTGTGGTGATGAATGTGTTGTGATGACTGTGTGGTGATGAGTGTGTGGTGGTGAGTGTGTGGTGATGAATATGTGGTGATGAGTGTGTGGTGATGAGTGTGTTGTGATGAGTGTGTGGTGATGAGTGTGGGGTGATAATTGAGTAGTGATTAGTTTGTGGTGATGAGTGTGTGGTGATGAATGTGTTGTGATGAGTGTGTTGTGATGAGTGTGCATGGTGATGAGTGTGTGGTGATGAGTGAGTGGAGATGAGTGTGTGTGGTGATGAGTGTGTGGTAATGAGTGTGTGGTGATGAGTGTGTGGTGATGAGTGTGTGGTGGTGAGTGTGTGGTGATGAGTGTGTGGGGATGAGTGTGTGGTGATGAGTAGTTGGAGATGAGTGTGTGTGGTGATGGGTGTGTGGTGATGAGTGTGTGGTGATGCGTGTGTGGTGATGTGTGTGGTGATGAGTGTGTGGTGATGAGTGTGGGGTGATGCGTGTGTGGTGATGTGTGTGGTGATGAGTGTGTGGTGACGAGTCTGTGGTGATGAGT